TCCTGATCTTTCTTCTGTTGCATAGACTGCATTTCTGCTTGCAACCTCTTTACGATTTCTTCAACTTCTTCTTCCTCCACTTCTTCTAGTTGTGGAGCTCTATTCACAGCTGCTGCTTGTTCTTGATCATCTCATAGTTGTTCTTCATTTTGTAAATTCAGTGCATCACTTCTACGAGTATATCGTTGATTAGCTCGATCAGGTATATGATCAACCATCCGGACAACTTCAACGTCCATTGGACCAATACCCTCTTCTATTTCTTCATCATTATCATATTCATTATCATCTTCATCCAACTCATGATCTTCTCCAAGTTGGGACCGCCGTTTCCAATATATAATTGGAGAGTTGGGGGATTCTTTAAAGATATGACAGCTTTCCTCTTTTGGTGTAATCATATCAACAGAAGTCTCCTTATCAAGTTTGGGTCTTTTTGGAACCCAAACTTGCTGCATCCTTGGAGCCACATACCGATGATCAGCAACATCGGAATGTACTTTTGAATGGCCAAATTCATTATACCATTGTCAAGGCCTTCCTTCATCATATTTTCGATTATAGTCTTTTATATGTAGACTATCAGAAAGCTCTCCCGACTGTCTTCTTCCATAATATGGATATCTACCCATATTAGGATAAAATTATTTTGGCTGTCGGTAGTATGGAGGACGTCTAGACTCCTCTCTATAAGATTTTGCTGAAAATTTGTTGCTCTGAGATCGAACTGCATTTGAGGACATAACTTCAGTGACAGATCTCCTCAGTCTTCGTTGTAGATTTTTGTCTTTAACAGCCTTCAGTATTTTGTATATTTTGGAAGAGCCAAATTCTTCCTTCTTTGGTGGTAGTGGCTGCTGATGCGAAGTCTCCCAGAAAGACTTTTTTAATTTTCCCTTGTCATCATTTCTTTTTACCCACTTTAACGGTTCAAAGCCGTTATTGATTAGTACATTTGCTTCTAATTGCAGTGATGACTCTTGAAAGGTCTCGGGTACCCAGCCATTAGCTCGTAGGCGAGCATGTGCCTTCCTTCTAGCTTTCCTGGAAAGTTTAGCACTTGCTTCAGGAATTTCAGCATTGTATTCTTTAGGCACTTCATCCTGGATTATGTTCTGACTGACTGTATTCATGCCAACAGATTGCATTTTGGGCTTAGGAATCTTCTTTTGAATCGCTGGAACAACAACAGGTGCCGTTGTCCCGGGTATACCATAGATTTCAATCTACCAACACTAACAATCATTAACCGTAGTGTCCAGGGAATCTGATTAGCAGCCATGAGTTGCCTCCTCTCAGGGATCCCGAGTAGACTGAAGTCGTTAGATGGGCGTATTCGGCGTCAAGATGGTTTGCTTCGGCATTGGGGTTGGCTGATTCGGCATGGATGATCGTCGAATGAAGATCCACAAAGACGAAGTAGCAGGTGAAAGGATGAGATCGACAGATTTATGAGCGGTCGTGCTTAACCGATGGTTTTCAAACCGCGGTTACAAAATATTGGGGTAACTTTAACTTTTATATGGTGTGAATTTAGCAGCAGTTAAAATTGCTGTCTATATTTATTTACAGCGGCGGTTTTAAAACCGCTATTATAAACTGTGAAAGCATTAACTTTTTGGAAGTGTGGGATGAAGCTTCCTCAAAAGACGTCTCAACATCTACCTTGCTATAATGTGAAAAGAAACAAATTTAGTAAACGGAAGAAGTCCAAAGTTAGGACAATAACAAAGTTTCTCAATAACCCTACTCATTCAAGGAAAAGAAATGACACGGATAACAGGGTAAAAATGTTCGGGAAATTTTATTTGCTTTGCTAAGATGCAAGGATTTGTTGGCTCAAGAAAAAAATGGCACGAGTGCACGAATCCCGCTTTGCAGCTGTAGGATTTCATTTTCCTTAAGTCAGATTGAAATTAACAAGATTTCCCCTGAGGGTAGCGTCAGGATTTATTTAGATCTGAAGTTCTTACTTCCTATGAGCGCAAGCACTCATAGTTAATTACCCCTCTTAACAAGTAAGAGAGAACTCTCGATTAAGGATGAATAAATTTTAGATATTTTTAGTCTCAAATGGTGGGAAGATGGAGGTAAACCTGATCAAGATCCCATGGTTCCGTCGTCCCGGGTATACCATAGATTTCAATCTACTAACACTAACAATCATTGACCGTAGTGTCCAGGGAATCTGATTAGCAGCCATGGGTTGCCTCCTCTCAGGGATCCCGAGTAGACTGAAGTGGTTGGATGTTAATTTTAGTTTTAATTTAATTTGAGTTGGGGCTTACGGCTCCAATTAGGAGTTGCCCGTTAATTTATTTAGTTTGGGGCTTACGGCTCCAATTAGGAGTTGCCCGGAGATTTAAATCTCGATTGAGATTTATGACTTTGATAGAAAATAACCCAAGTATTTGATTTAAATTGGGACTTATGGCTTTCGTAGAAATTAGCCCGAAGGTGGGCCTTACTACCTAACCCTATAGGCTAGGATGCCCGAGAATTTTAATTGTTTGGATAGGACTTATGGCTTCCCTTAGGAAGTAGCCTAAAAAGCGGGTCTTACAACTTAATCATTTAGACTAAGATGCCCTTAGGTTTAAATTTGATTGTTTGAGGTTTAGGATCATTGCTATTTACTTTTACAATTTTCCTAAAATGTGGGGGATTACGACTTCAATAAGAAGTTGCCCGAAAACGGGTCTTACAACCTAATCCTATAGACTAGGATGCCCAAATGAGGGGTCTAGGTGTATTATCACCTAAACACTTCCCTTAGATATCAGACTTACAACTTCTATTAGAAGTGGTCGGGGGTTTTAATTGGAGGTTAGGAGTTAGGCAAATTCTACCTAAAACATTCCCTAAGATCGGGCTTACTGTTTTCCTACGAAAGTTACCGGATAGTGAGTCTTGCAACCAAGTTCCTATGAACGAGGCTGCCTATAGGTTCAAATTTTAGTTTGTTTGAGCGGGCAGTAGTTTTTTTTTTTTTGAAACTAGACCACCGGGATTTTCAGCTGGTTGTTTGTGATTTTGATATTTCGAAGTTTTAACACTAGCATTAATGTTTGAGTTGTTCTTTTTTTGCTCGTAGCATGTTTTCACGACAGTAGTCCACTACCCTACCTGTCTAGTACTGTTGCTCCACTAGCTTTTCGTACTTGACTTTCTTGCTTTTCAGCACTTCCCTCTACTAGTAGTGGCTAGATTTAATATTTTTCATAATTTAGTTTTATTTATAATTGTGCTAACTTTTATCTGCTTGTTTGCAGATACATGATACTTGCTGTAGTTCAGGGGGGTTGCAGATAGTTGCGGGAGCTCATATAAGAGGGACCTTGGAGAACATGCAAAGGGAGTTTGAAGATTTTTGAGTTGTTTGGAGAAGTTGTACAATTTGTTTGAGAGTTATTATTTGGAAAGGATTTTGGAAAATTTGAGAGCTTGTATATATTTGATTAGTGAAAATATTATTTTTCTTCATGCATTTTCTTTATGTTTAACTTAATTAATCAATTAACTAAAAAAAATTTATTTTTAGTTAATTATATTAATCTCAATTTCTAAAACCCACATGCTTTAAGATTTTCAAAATTTAAAAATCTCATATTTAAATTTTTTTTGTATGCTCTCAAATTTAAGAACTTTCAAAAATTGAGATAATTGTATTTAAAATTTTTACAAAAAAAAGGCTCTCAAATTTTAAAACTTGATTTGATTTGATTTTTTTTATCAATCAATTAATTAAATTAACTTCGATTATTTAATTGATCAAAGATTTAAATTTAATTGTTCTATAATTGTTCCAAAGGTTCAATAATTTTCTCGAAATTTCGGCAGCATGCCAGCGTCTCCTTCCCACCGAGGGAGAAATCGGGACGGCACTGCTGTAATTCTTCCTACCCGGACCTAGGTCGACGGCGCAGGGTCTTTGATTTCAAACCATCTCACCAGGATCTAAGATTGACTGCGTGAGGTCTTCGAATTGTAAAACCATCCGCCCAGATCTAAGATCGATAGCGCGGGTCTTCAAATTTTAAAACCATCTGCCCGGATTAAAAATCAATGGCGCAGGTCTTCAATTTCAAACCGTCCCGGTCAGACCTAAGGTACGACAGCCGAGCTCTTCGACTCTTGCTTAAAATTCAATCTTTTTTAAAAAATATTATATCATTTTAATTATATTTGTATATAACAAATATATTATAATATAATATATAATAAATATATTATTATATATAATATAAGAGAGGAAGAGAGGAAGGAGGGGATCGGGTAGAGCTCAATCGAGCATGGTCGGAGGCGGAAGACACGCACGGGTGTCGGGTTCGGCCGACTGGAGTCGTGAGAAGGAGCCAAAGAAGCAATCGTGCAATCCCTACACCTCCTGCGAAGAGGGAAGTCGGGTAGCAAGGGAGGAGCCGAAGGATCGACATGTTCAATTTTTGTACCTCTTGCGAAGGAACGAAGTCGGACGACACCAAAGGAGCCGAAGAGCAAAGTCGAATGGCGATGGGGAGCCGGAGAAGCGATGCGTGCAACCTCCTTGCTTCCTGTAATGCGACGGGATCGAACTGCAATGACGAAGGGAGAAGATGAAAGGCCGACCCTAGACTCCTCTAAAAGCAACGAAGTCGGACAATAACGATGGAGTCGAAAGAGCGAAACGAACAAGCGTAAGTCCATTCTTGATCGTTCTCTCCCTCCATTTAAAAATGAATTTGTGGTTATCTCCTTTTCGAACGAAGAGTCGCTGCGTTTGGGGGCAAACCGCGCAAGGTGGGACCGGAGGAAGCTAGTATGTCGGTTGTTTTAAATTTTTTTTTTGTATTTCGTCTTTTTTTTTAATAGTCAACAGGATTGTAAAGTGATGCCCTCGCAACTTCATTAAGTGCATTATAACAAACAAATAGAATAGGAAGCCCCCTAAGAATCCGACCTTCAACACACAAACATAAAAGAAGGATTCAATGCTACATAATCAAGTTATATAAAAGAAGGATTCAATGCTTCATAATCAAATGAACTGATATATCCCATAATAATATTTTATGAAAATTCTTAACTAGAATCATATTTCTCACGTATGTGCTCATTTGAATACATCATGCATATCTTCTCAAACAAAAGCAATATGCATATACCAAAAAATACCTGAATTGGGTGGAGGTGACTGACCAAAGCATCTATATAAGGACTGTTTTGAAAGTCCCCCAATTCATGTTGTGGCATTCTAATGCTACTTCCTGTTCAAAGAAAAAAAAGAACTCATTAACTTTTTCTTAGTATGAATGACAAATACAGAAACAAAGTCTTTATAAACAAGGCTGCCCATCAAGGTTTAAATTTGATTATTTGGAGTTTTGTTATTTAGAGAATTTGAGAGGGTCGTAAGTTGATTTTAGTTCGTGGTTTTGACATTTAGGAGTTTTGACACTGGGTTAATGTTTTAGTTTGTTTTGTTTGCTAGTAGTTGTACCTACTAGTTTGACTAGTTGTTGTTGTAACACTAGTGTTCTTTTGCTATAGTAGTTTTCCTTTTTGTTTTTCGTAAATTACTTTACTTTTTTTTTACATCAGTGTACTAGTAATTTACTGCAATATTTTTTGCTTTAGCATTAAATTTAATATTATTTTAATTGTAATGCTAAATGAATTTAATTTATTTGTTGCAGGAGCTCGTACAGAAGAGACTTTGGAGAGCTCGGAGATTCTGCTATTCTGTATTCTGTTGGAGAGCTTCAGTTATTGTTGTAGGGAGCTTTATATAAAATTTGGAGAACAAAGTACTTTTGAATTGGAAAGTTTGAAAGTTATTATGTTTGGAGAGTTTGAAAACTTTTGGTTACGTTGGAGAGTCTTAGTATGTTGAGTTTGAAAGCTATGTTGTTTTAGTAGAGTTATTATTGGAGAGTTTGTTGTTTGTAAAGTTTGCTTGAATTTGTTGTTAGAGAGCTTGTGCATATATTAGATTAATGAAAATATTATTTTTCTTGCAACATGTCTACAAAGATGAATTTGCAAAGAAAAATTTTCATAAAAATGTGAGTTATTTTTCCAACAACCTTAATATATGTATGAAATCATTGTTGATAATTTTAAACTCTTTAGCTTAGAAGGCAAAGAGAGCAACTCTTTCAACTTGAGGTATTAAATTTAGCTCTATTTTCAAGTCATTTTACTTTCGACATGCAAGAAAATTTAGAGACTAGTGGAAAGGAAGTTATCCAAAATGTAGAAGAGTTTTCCCCTTCCAACTCAATTTTTTCCTAGATTTGAAATCAGATTGACATTGCTCATTCATAAAAAAAAATGATTTAAAAATATAATTTATAAAAAAAAATCTGATTTATTTAAAAAATCTGAACATACGCAATTTAATTGATTAAATCGGTAGATTAAATGCTCTCTAATTTAAAAAAAATTTAGAGATCTGCGTTTTCCAAAAATTCACTAAGTTCAGAATTTTTCAAGAAAATTTCGGTAGCCTCCCGGCGTCTCCTCCCCACCGAGGGAGAAATTGGGACGGCACTGCCATAATTCTTCCTACCCGGACCTAAGGTCGACGACGTAAGGTCTTCGATTTCAAGCCATCTCACCAGGATCTAAGATCAACTGCGTGAGGTCTTCAATTTGGAATCATCCGCCCAGATCTAAGATCGATGGCGCAGGTCTTCAAAATTTTAAAACCATCTGCCTGGATTAAAAATCAACGGCGCAGGTCTTCAATTTCAAACCATCCCAGTCGGACCTAAGGTACGACGGCCGGGGTCTTCGACATTTATTTACCAAATTTTTATTTCTCTCCATCTTTCATTTTCATTTTATTTTTATTTTATTATTTTGTTATATATATATATATATATATATATACAGAGAGGGAGAGGGAGTTCGGGAGAAGCCCGATCGGGCTAGGGGCCGGAGGCACGCACGGGCTCGGCGGGACTCGGACGGTGGTCGGCGGGGTCGGCGTTGGAGCAGGTGAGGTCGGCAGCGGGTTCGCAGCCTGGGGTCGGACAGGCGAGCACAGGAGGTTGGAGGTGGGTCGGTGTGGGCGGCCTTTGCGAACTAAAGCCAAACAGCGACAATGGAGCCGAAGGAGGGCGCGTGCAATCTCTTCACTTCCTGCGAAGAAACAAAGCCGAGCAACGACCTAAAGCGGAGATGTAATCTTTAACGGTCTTGCTCCCCTGGGTTAGTCTATTCCACTTATCTAGGAGCTTAAGGTAGTAGGAAGGTGGAAGGTATTTTCTCCTAAGTTCTTGTTTCATAGTTCTCCAATCTGTAATAGGATGTTCGCCTTGAGCCTCGCGCATATTCTTCAAATTGGTCCAGTATAAGTTGGCTCGACCAGTGAGTTTCATCTCAGCAAACCTAACCTTCTTAGCTTCCGAGATGTTGTACCACTTGAAATAACTATCCATGGATTTAAGTCAATCCAAGAAAACTTGAGGGTCAAGGGTTCCATCGTACGTCGGGGCATCAATTCTAATGTTTTTCAACAATTGAGCGTCGTTGTCTCTCCAAGGGTTCTCATTTGCCAAGGGGTCTTGATTTGGCCTAGGGTTGTGACGGTATTGCTCTCACTACAGTCCGTGATCGTTCTGTGTGACATCACCATAAGGTGAATGCGGCCTAGACGGAGTGTAAATAGTGAGGTTTCCTATGCGCTCTATGTTATCTAATCGATCACTCGTTTGTCGCCTAAAGTCTGCTAAGTCCGTCTGAGTGTTGCGGATTTGCTGCGTAACTGTTCCCAATTGGCCCACTATGAGGTCTAGAGTGGCTTGGATGTGTTCCGGATCCATGATTGGGTGTTAGAGGACACAAGGGAAGGTTAAGGATAGGCGGGCAGCAAGTGAACACTACCTAAAACTCTCCCAAACGGATGCTAATAGGTGCAGGAAATAAAGTGGACAGCAACTTCAGCAAAGGGTTAAGTAACCTAAGTGTTTTGAATGGATTGTAGAGTGTGGACAGCAACTTAACAATGGTCTTAGGTCACCTAAATGTCACTAAACGGTGCAGGAATTCTGGACAGCAAGGTTTTCTAGGGTGGCAAGTGACCTAGGTGATTGGGTGGGTGGCAAGTGACAAGGACAACACTTAGATGAAGTAAATATGCTTGTTTGCAATGAAAAGAACATGCAGGAAATTACTGGACAGCAAATTAAAACAACAAATAAACTATCTAAATGGTGCTATGCATGCAAATGACTAAGGACAAGATAAACTAGACTCTTAGGATGCATCTAGCACAAGCAAAGCATGCTAGCCATGCTCTGATACCAAAATGATGTGAAACAACATGCGATAAACAAGAATTGCAATTAAGATATTAATAGAAGTGATGAATTTTACTTTGCTACCAAATAACTCTTTGTTTGCTCAAGTTAGAGTTTAAGAATATGGCATTAAAAGATTAGGCAATAGCAATAGATTACATGTTGAGATTACAAGAACTTGCAAAATAATAACCAAAGTTTTAGGTAATGCAAATAGCCAATTATAACGAAGCCTCAAATTTAAAATCTAGATCCTTCACCTTGAAGTCCTTCACTCGCTCTTGGAAGTGGTGGTTAGCGGGAGAGGATCATAAGTAGACTCAGCGATATCACTAGTAGACAGGTGATACCGAGAGGACTTGTCGCCGGGGAAGAAGCCTCAAATTTAATTATTTGGGTAGGACTTATGACTTTCCTTATAAAGTTGTCTGATTATGTATAGGATTGCTAGGGTTGATGTATTCCATTTTAAAAAGTTTCCCTAACGCATGAGACTTACGACTTGACTTGGAAGTAGCCCATTGGTGAGTCTTACAACCTAACCCCTATAGACTAAGATGGCCGAATGAGGGGTCTAGAGTTGTATTATCACCTAAATATTTCTCTCAGAGGTTGGACTTACGATTTCTATTAGAAATGACTGGTGTTTTAATTGGGGGTTAGGACAATTTTTTACCTAAAACTTTTCCCTAAGGTCGGGCATACAATTTTCCTTTGAAAGTTGCCGGGTAGTGGTTCTTACAACCAAGTTCTTATAAACAAGGCTGCTCATATGTTTTGAGTTCGATCATGCATTTGTATAGATAGTATTTGCATGTGCAATATTTGGAGATTTATTCTGTACTTGTTTGAGTTGGTTTAAGTTTGTGATTTTGATACTTCAGAGTTTTGAAACTGGCTTTAGTGTTTTAATTATTCTATGCTCGTAGTCTTTTTCCTACTACAGTAGTCCACTAATATACCTATTTTTTTTAGCATTGTTGCTCTACTATTTTTTTCATACTTAGTTTTTCTTGCTTTTCAATAATTTTGTCTTACTAGTAGTAACTAGATTTATTTTCTCAACATTTAACTTCATTTATAATTGTGCTGACTTTTATCTGTTTATTTGCAGGTGTTCGTAGTAAGTAATTACAATAGCCATGGCATGCAATTACAAAGGATAGAGTCCAAAGATAGTTGCAAGAACTCATACAAGGACTTTGGAGAGCTTGCAGGGGGTTTGATGATTTCTGAGTTGTTTGCACATATTTTTGGGAGAGTTGAATTTGTTGTCAAGAGTAATAATTTGAGTTTAAATTGTTATTAGAGAGTTTGAGAGCTTTTGTTTTGGAGAGGTTGTACAGTTTATGAGGGTTTATTCAGATTTAGAGAGCTTGAGAGTTTTCGAGAGTTGGAAAGCAATGTTGTATTTATCAATTAGTGGAACTTGCCCAGGTGAAAAGATTTCACTAAATTTTGAGTGAATTACAAATATTGACCCGTCCTTTGATTTAGGAGCAGTCAAATTACAATAGTTTAGAGAATTAGGCCAAGGTCTGGCGACTGTCGGGTGGAAGTCCGACAACGTTCGGGTAGAAGTTCAACTAACGAGGAATGATCTGACAAAGTCCAAAGGCAGTCGACGGAGATCCGACGAAGGTCAGACTCATGTCCGGAGGTGATCAGCGGCCAGGCGGTGGCCCGACGATGGTCGTCTTAAGTCTAGCGGCGGTTAGTGGCCAGGCTGAAGTTCGACGGTGGTCGACGACCGAGCTGAAGTCCGACGACGATCGGCGGCCGGGTGGAGATCCGACGGTGGCCAGGTTAAAGTTCGATGATGGTCGGCGGCTGGGCGGTGATCCGACGGTGGCAGAGCCGAAGTCCGTTGGCGGTCAACGACCGAGCAGTGGTGCTCGAGATCTTGAAGCTTCAGAGCTCTCTAATCTCTAGCCAAAGGTCTCATTCATGTAGAGAGTGTG